AAGACGAGCATCCGCAAGTCTGTCCAGGTGGCCTACGACCGGGCCATGATCCACCTGAGCCGAGTCAGGGGCGACCACGGCTTTGTCACCTCCAGCTACCTGTAGACTGTGGGGAGAAAGCAGCCATTCGCCCAGCTAGTGCTGGACAGGGGGAGGGGCGAGGGGCGAGGGGCGTGGCTTTGTCCAGCTGCTTGGACAGGGAGTAAAGAGGTGAGTGTTTGGGTAGAGGGGTTAGACGCTCAGCCTTGTCTTTCTCATCGGCCAGAATAGTTTGACTCTCACGAAGGCCAGGAGGGTACGCTGAGGAGAGAGGAGAAAGACAGCAGAGTCTTGGTGCTGTTGGAAAAGCACAGAAGAGCCGGGTCCTAAAACAAGGACAACCAAAACTTCAGAACAACGGAAAACTGTTTAATGAGGATGACAAAATTCACTATGTTTTTTTTTTTGGCAAATTCATTTTTTTCATATTTATAAAAAAAGCAAAAAGTTACAAAAATAAAAGGATCACTGCCATTTTCTTACGATAGCTTTTTACTTTTTAATATTTTATGAAACCACTTCTTGTACATTAAATACGCACACCTTACATATATAAATGTATATCATACCCTTATATTTTATTTTTTGCATTTGTATTGAGTTAACCGAGGGCACTACGGGGAAGAAAAATGATGTAAATAATTGTAAGATACTGTTATAAATTATTGGCTGGCTTCAAAGTTCATTTAGCTTCTCTGTGGTGTTAATGGTTATATATAAATATATATATATTTTCTTTGTGTTTTAATACACAAAATAATTTATTTAAGGAAAAAAGTTGACAATTGAAAGTAAATAGTTCAGTTATTTAAAATGGGGAAAAAATAATTTAAAAGAAGCAGTGGACTTTGTGACCTATGTATAACGTTGTAATAATATCAAAGTTTTAAAACACTTTTATTACATTTTATGATTTGTAATTTCCTCAAGCTGTGGCCAACGGGCTGAAATGTTGCTGTAAGTCCGCTGTTAAGCACAGAATGTTGTATTTATTGTAGAAAGTCTTTATTCGCTTTCTAGATCTGTTTATAAGATGGCTATGAGAGAGATTCTACGCTTGTACATAATGCAGATTTTACCTACTATAACCTGATTGTCTGAAGCTATATTTTCTCTCTTGAGAAATAAATGTTCTAATCTAAATAGATTTGTTATCGCTGTTCTGTATTTCTTGGCTGATGGATTGGTTTCAGTTGTTCTTGTGGTTTATTTTTTTGGGGTCTTTCGGTTTGCAAGGCACTGTAGCTAAAGGTTAATGAGTTAAAGGCTTGGGTATTTCCAGGCGGTATACTGTCTTGAAGGGCGACACAGTCAACTGCAGAATACAGTGCTATTACTGATTCATTTAATCCAAAGCATTTTGTTTGTAGCCCTTTATGCATCTGGGTAATTTAACAGGGCAGTTTGAGGATTCAGGGGTACCACTGTATAGACCTGGGATTTGAACCCTCAACCCCAAACCATTAGAAGCCCAGGCCCCTCACCACTACTCCAAAGCTTCCCCAGTGTGGAAATTTGCAATTGAAAGAAAAACACAATAAGATAAACAAAAATCTCAAAAAGTGCAGACCCTAACCTAACGTAAGGGGTCCTTGCACATTCCTTTGGCTTTCACTTTATTAAACCAGCAACTGCTGAAATGAACCAGTGTACCGGCTATGTACATAAGAACAGAGAAGAAAAGAAACAACGTTTCGGCTGTGGAGCCTTCTTCGGGTGAGAAATCAACCCCACCTTCACACCTGAAGAAGGCTCCACAGCCGAAATGTTCTTTTCTTCTCTTTTCAGCATGGAATAAACCTTTACTTGTTCCTTGGCAGCCTACGCATGCTGATGCAGCTACCTACTTGAATTACTTCAAACTAGGTACATGCCGTTTAATATTTAGTTATTGCTTGATTTGATTTTCTGTTCAGTATGAACACTAGACTGGAAGATAAGCCTGTGTGTAGTATTAAAAAAGCAGCAGGAAGATGATCTTGCAGAAGATTTAAGCTTCCTGCCAAAGGAGCACGGAGGGGAGCATGCAGTGAAATCTGCTTCTTTCAGAAATTTAGCCCCCAGGTATTCCTGGCATTTCTCACACATCTCCCTGGAGCCGTCTAAAAGACTTTCAGTTTTTTGCTGAGCAGCAACAGCAGAACAAAATATCCAAGTGGTTAAAAATAGATACAGAAAGCGTGCCAATTGTACATTTTTATGTGTATTATGTTTATGTAAGGACATGCAACTTGAACAATATATTTTATCATTTGATAGAGAAAAACCACAAAGTGAGTGAAAGAAAAGAAATTGAATATAGTTACTGCAATACGTTTATACATCTATTATCAATCACTTCTTACAGAGTTTAGAAAGAAAAACTTCAAATCAATAGCTTGGCTAGCACTACTTTTGACTATTTAAGAAAATCTTGTGAGCGTGCTATGCACCTGACACCTAAGGAATGTCAGCTTAACAACACTTAAGGCAAGAAATGCTAGATCTGTATAAGCTGGTGAGTCCTGTTGCAGATCTACACAATGAACAATCAACGAGATTCATTTTGTTACTTAAAAAGCAGACGCCTTTATGTTAAGTGCCTTACCTTCACAAACCCAGTTCTACCAGTGTAAAAGGAAATTGAGCGGTTGACTAAACTTTATAAAGCAACAGTGCTTTAAAACTGTGCTTGGTAACTGTAACCCTTCTTTCTCAGCCAGTGTGGCGGGTGTAGCAGGGAAGATGCAGTGAGAGCCGTCCTCCACCAAGGAAAAGAAAAGCAGGTGGATCTTGGCATGGTGGTCAATGTTTTATGAGTGTGGCCCACACCGTGTCCTCCAGTTTTGCCAGGCTCCTCTGACGGGCCCCGACGGAGGCGTGCCAGAGGGGTGCAGTCTGGTCGGGGCCGTGAGATGACAGCTCGGGAAAGGCAGGGACTCTCCATAAATTAAGCTCCGATTTGCTGTGGCAGGAGGACGTGCTCAGCGGGGGAGTGAGTCAGCGGGCGGCCGCAGGCCGTCTCGGCAGACCAGATGTGCCACCGTTGATAAAACCCCTCGGCTACCAATTATCCTGCCAGCCAGCTGTGTGCTGGCCTGTCTCGCACGTCTGTCCACAGCGACATACCGGCAGTGCTTTCAGGTGCAAGCAGTACTGCCGCGGACGATCAAAAAGCAGAACGTCGCCAGGAGAGATGACTTTGCGTTTGTGCGGCTATCTGGAGACCCGCAGACGTGCTCTAGCCTAGCAACCAGACTTACACTGCAGAGACCAAGTCACAGCTTTGAGCCTTAAAGATTTTTTAAACCTCTCCATGCCACTACTCGAGAAACGTAAGAAGGGTTAGAAACAAAGGCAAATATTATGCCCACCCATCCCTCTTGGTAGTTAGTGGTTTGAATTGTTTTCACAACCAACGTACGTGATATTTAAGCAGCTTCTGCGTCATTTTACATTGTTAATACAGTGTTTCTCTTAACATAGCCCTTGGGCTGGTTGGGTCAAATTGTTTCCTCATTTATAACCTGTCTTGTTTATAACCTATCATATGCTCCTATACAGAGCTGAGGCCTGAGGGAACCTGTATGTTCTGAGTTACAGAGCTCTTTGATTTTCAAGGTTAAATGCAGAGCAAAGTTCAGTACAGCACAGTAATGCACAGATCTACTCGATCGGCCTGGTGGCAGAGGCAAAGGGCTACTTAAGCCCACAGGTCACAGCAGAACTCATTTCTCAACAGATGCTGTTCCAGAAACAGTTATTCCAGCTGTATGAGCAAGGCACAAAAAGCAATTAGACAAATGTTTTGCACGTGTAATTCTTTGCAAATTTCTGCAAAACGGCAGAGTTATATGTAATTATCTGCAAATTAGTTAATTTTCTCCTGTTGCCAGTGCTTGACAGTTTTTGAGTTTGAACTACTTTTCTTCATTTGAAGATACAAATACTAAATTACTATAAACAGAATACTGAAGTTACTCTTTGCAATTTTGATGTAGTTACTGTATGGTGTTCCAGCGTGTTCATTAAATTCAGATTTGGTGTCATACTTCTCTCTACAGCTGTAAGAGAATGGAGAGTCTTCCATTACCTGTGCCCTTTTAATGAAGGTTTAATACTAAAGAATAGCAATATATATATATGGAAAGGACAATAAGATAATTAACATTTCAAAAACGTATACAAAATAAGACAAAACATACTAACCTCCAAAATCAAATAGATGCTGGAGGAGTGCTTTTACAATAGGCTATGCAAATGAAGTTCCGATAACAACTGCAGTGCAGTACAGTATAGTGTTTTAGTTCACGAAACATATTGGCAAACATTAGCTTTACAAACAAGAGAAATCCACTCTGTTCTTTACACAGTGTTGTACTGGATGTGCTTTACTCAGCAGAGATCAGACACGTTTGGTTATGTCACTTAAAACGTCTCAGTTTCTGTGAGACCTGTTACATTGGGCGAAAGGTCTTGGAGGTGAGGCAAGTTGATTTAAAATCAGAAAAGGGGAGCAATATAAAAATAGAATTTTGTCGTTTTTCTCAGAAGTGCGTAGTGCAAAATAACTGTAACAATTACACAGAGTTACACTTGTCCTTGTGTCAACCTCTCCAGTTTCTCAAATGACCTGAAGAACGTCCAGGCACATCAATGTGACGTGAGACTGCCGCATTTCTGTGGGAAGGAAGGTGTTCTGTTAGAGCTGTTGGCGCTCTCATTGAGAATTAGCCTCCAGGGGGCGCTCTAGGCCTGTTTTTTTCTGACTGAAGATTAAGGAACTCCTGTATTTGTGGTGCATCCTAGGTCATACTGCAGAGGGATGCTATGCAACATGACAGCGGTCGCAGTCTCTAGACCTCTGGAAAGGGAATTCAGTATGTTGGCTTGTATGATGCAATGAATCAAGGGGCCATCAGACAGGCGTTAAGGCTTTTTCCGTCCTCAAAACGAAGAGACCAAAACCCTTTTCCTCTGAAAAGCTGGATAAAACGAGCAAAGGGATGTGGCAGCTGCTTTCTCCTTTGTAGGAATGTTGCTGTTTCTCTTAAACCCTGCACTGAGTGACAGGCAGTAAAGAGCCATATTGCCCTGTCAGTCCCAAATGCCCCGCAAATGCAGTCTCCACATGGCACACAGAATAAATGTGGGCTCACTTTCACAGACTGCTGGTACTTTTTTTACTTTACTTTCCCTGGGGCCTTGATAGCTGTAAGAATTTCCAGGTGCCCGTGAATTCAAGATGCACGTTTTCAAAATTGTGAAAGATGACAGAATCCTACAGACGAACCAATGCCAGACATGAGGGACGTCATCACTGGGGAGAAATAGAAACTGAAAGCACTCTTCGACGGTGGTTTTAAATTTAGAATCACAAGTTGTTTTCAATTGCTAATTGCCATATCCTTCATAGAAGCACTGGGTAAATAGACAAAATACACACACCGTCCTTTGGAAAGTCCCCTGTCAGGTCAGATGCTTTTTGTGTCGTGACAGAAGAGCACAGAATCAACATCATGGCTACACATTCAGGTGCAGGAGTAGGGTAGCTCTTACTGATAACACTGCAAACCCACCGGTCACTGCATACTACACAGACAACAAGGAAGCGCTTACTGACCTCAATTCCACTTATCTGCAACAGCTGGTGGGCAGGCAGTTGCCATCCCTTGAGAACTCTCAGTCAGCTAGTGGCACTGCCCAGATCTGAGCCACTGTGGCCTTTACAGTCTCCGCAAGGGTCTTCGCAGGTTCGATTGATTCCAGAGCCCATCTTTACTTCTCTTTCGTGTGGAAGACCTGGTGATTAAACATTACAATCTTCCTGTTTTTTGCCCAGAGAATCTTCTCATATACGAGGCCCTACAGTTACCCGAGGCAAGATCCCTTTTTCCATTAGTATGGCGCTGACATGATGTCAGAAACACTTATGTTGAAAAGAGCAAACTTGACACAGGTAACACAACTGAGTCACAATACTTAGCATGAAATGAAGTAGGCACATACACAGCAGTATGTGCCACCTTGGCCAGCTTAGGTTGTATATCTGGCAGGGCCTGATGCATAAGGATGATTTATCCATATCCTGGTATTTATACCAAGGATGTGAAATTTGTATGGCAAAACTGGTATATTCCACTTTGTGACATGATAAAGGTGTGTATG